CATAAATGATATTAAGAACAACAGGCCTATAAAAAACGAAATCTATAAAAACATTGAATTGGAATTAAGTATAATTAAGGATTGTCAAAAGCAAAAAATCATAATTCCGTCTTCTATGAGAAAAAATGTACTATAATCATCACATGATGGTCACTTAGGAGCAGGAAGAATCAAATCCTTAGCCAAAGATCACATGTAGTGGTCTGATATAAATAATGATATAGATATGGAAGTGAAAAGTTGCGACGATTGTAACATATATCACGATAATCCTAAAAAAATACAAAAATCTTGGGTTTCGGCAACCAAACCATTTGATAATATACACATAGTTTATGTGGGTCCGTTCTTCACAAGAAATTGGTTGACAATAGTCGATGCTTACAGTAAGTTTAATCATTGTTCCGTTAAAAATATTACGACCGATATTACTTTAAAAGAAATTTTTAAAACTATTTCGTTATATGGAATATCCAAACTATAGTTACCGATAACGGCACTAACTTCACAAGTATTGATTTTGAAAAATTTTGCAGTGATTATGGTATCAAACATGTGCTCACATCTGCTTATCATTAGCATGGTAAAAACGTTCAAAACACATATGAAAAGGAATATCAAAATTGACTTAGACATTGCACTTAGACAAATTTTTATCTAATTACAGAAATATGCGTAATGACACTACAGGAGTTACACCGTCTAAGAGGATGTTCAACCATGATATTAGAGTGAAATGGGACTTATTGAGACCGTTGGAGGAGGAGAATAAAATAAGCATTACTTTACCACGAAATAGAACCTTCAATACAGGAAATTTTGTTTGGTATAAAGTGCAAGGGAATGACACGTGGGACAATTAATTTGAAGGAAAGCGACACTATGTTCCAAGTCTATACAGAAAAAGGTATTACAAGGAAACACCTGGACCGATTAAGAAAGAGAATGCTATAACACATTTGCATACCATGACTCTACTAAGGACGGAAGTGAGGACAAAAATATTAAAACTAATGATAAAAATATTGTAATACCGCCTCCTAGACCGATACGAAGTAGCCAAAAACCTGTTTATCTAAAAGATTATATAACTTAGTGTATTAAAACATGTAAAAATAAATACTAAAACATGTAAAAATAAATTAGACTAAAACGCAAAATAAAAATATCATATAAAAAATAAAAACGCTAAAAATGATATCTAACAATCTTGTCGAGTTATCATCCTTTTATAATTCTAACATCCAAATTTGATCAATTCTCTAATTATTCATATATTCTGAAATCCTATTTAATAATGATAATTTTACAATTGGTGATAACAATTTTATAAAATTGACAATGATAACGACGGAGCTTGACGATGAGCCAGCGTACTCAAAACGATATTAACAAACCAACGTGATAGAATCAAGCCAACGACTACAATGACTTATGAACGACTTGAACAATCAAAATGAACAACCATTTGAACGACATATTTTCTATGATAGCTCAGATGGATTATGGGAAGGCTTTTCAGAAGGGGAATGTTGATTGATTGATTTTTTTTATTTAACTTAAATTGTTATTATAGCCTTAAAATATATATTTCGTTTAAATTGTTTTTTTTAAATACATATATATATGTTGTATTCCATATCAAATCAACTGAAGATTCAACCCGACCCTCTTCGATTTTTTTTAAAATTTGCATGATGGTAGTATATACACTAACTAGCAATAATATAAAATTTTAATTCTCAACTCAGCTTACTTCATGAGATATGGCCATCTTTAGAAACGCGAAAAGTTCAAAATACAAATTTTAAATATCTCAAAAAGTAATTAAGCTAAAGGTATAATTTAAACTTTATTAAATAACTCTAGAATAGCCCTTTAATATGATATAAAATTTATTATATTGAAAATAATTTTATTACCAAAAACCGGAAATGGTTATAAAATAAAAATTGCCCTTTTTTTTCTTTCAAAATTTTTTAACAAATAGACATTATATATCTTAATATTTGTACAAAATCCTAGATTGGGACCATTACTGGGCTAATAGTTATTACGCTTTAAATATAATATTATACGAAATGAGTAATTATTTTTTTAACAAAAGTGATAATATTTGTGAATAATAGTATTAAAACTGAAATCTGAACCCCATCTTAAGATTAATATTCGCCCCCCCCCCCCCCCCCAAAAAAAATTTATCTTCTTAAATTCGAGATTTTTGACCTGGCAATTCTATGAGTGAATTATGTAGATTATTTTCTTTGCCAAATAAAAAATTATCTTTGTGATCGTCAGAAATATATTTTCATAAAGATTATTTTCTACTTATAATTAATTATCAAATAAAATAATTATCATAAAAATCAAATTCAATTCCAACAGCAACAGCCGTCATTTATATTAATATTTTATAAAGCCATTTTTCTAAGAAAATTAAATTATCGGTATTCATATCCAATTTATTTTTAATTTAAAATAATTATATAAAATTAATAGCTATCTTTTATTCCTTACCAAAAAAATTTAAATGTCTAGAAAAGATATTTATATTCCAGTAAAGTGCTGTAATCCCTTTAGAATAAAATCTTATTCAGTACGTTACGATCTTAGAAATGTTTTACAATGGATGATAGAAGTGAATTCTAGCTTATCAATTAATCAAAAAATTTGTAGCTCTTGCCGGAAAAAATTAAAAAAATATTCAACAAATCTGATCTCACCTTTTACTTCTACGATCCCGATCACATTACCTTCTATTTCTAACTTACCTTCTACCTCAACTATTAATGAAACATTTAGCGATTCTGAACCTGATCAACCATGCAATAATCCCGACTCTTATACAGATTTTAATACTTCAATTTCAACTTTAAATGAAACTTTGCCATTTTTAGGGGAGACACCTATTAAAAAGAAAAGGTTAAATGAAAAAAAATATCCTGTAAATAAATTTTTGAAAATTTAGGGAAAAATTAAAAAAGTTTTTAAAATAAATCTAGAGGATCAAGCAAAAAAATATGAAGCCGAAATCATAAATCAACTGAAAGAAAAATTTTCTACAAGTTCTCGCAATGAAAAAATACAAATTTCAACAGTTTTACCAAAATCTTGGACTCTTGATAAAATTGAAAAGGAATTTTCAACCACAAATTTTATGGCCCGGACAGCTAAACAATTAGTTGAAGAAAAGGGTGTTTTGTCAAACCCAAATATCATAAAGCCAAGTAGAATAATTCCGGATGACATTGCAAATAAAGTAATAGAATTTTATAATTCTGACGAAAACAGCAGACTTATGCCAGGTATGAATAATTTTATATCAATGAAAGTTAATGGAAAAAATGAAAGTCAAACGTTATTCTAATTCATTAGATAATTTAATGTATGATATTATTTAATTTAATAATTTTCCATTTTATATTCATGTAATATAAATAATTAGCTAAATAAAGTTATAAATATTTTTACAATTATTTTCTCTCTAAAATAAAATCGCTAAACTTATATGTTAAATATAACATAATGTCTACTAGTGGGCTCACAGCCCGAAACATTTATAAAAAAATATAATCTGCCCGATCATAAAGGAATTTTCTTTTTATTTGTTTCGTAAATTACTATATATTTGGTATAATTTAGGATTTAAGCCATACTATTTATATTTAAAGCGTAATAACTATTGGCCCATTAATGGTCCCAATCTAAAATTTTGTACAAATATTAAGAAGTATAATGTCTATTTGTAAAAAAATTTGAAAGAAAAAAAAAGAGCAATTTTTATTTTATAGCTATTTCCGGTTTTTGGTAATAGACTTTTTATTAATAAAATAATTTTTATATCATATTAAAGGGCTATTTTAGAGCTATTTAATAAAATTTAAATCATGCCTTCAGCTTAATTACTTTTTGAGATATTTAAAATTAAATATACTGTATTTTGGAATTTTCGCGTTTCTAAAGATGGCCATATCTCATGAAGTAAGCCGATTTGAAAAGTAAAATTTTACATTTTTATTAGTTAGTGTATATACTACCAACATACAAATTTTTAAAAAAATCGAAGGGGGTCGGGTTGAGAATCGACTTTTTTTTGGTTGATTTAATATGGAATACAACATATATATATTTATATACACATTATTTTATATTTATTTTTTAGTTTTAGAATAAAATAACTATAACTTAAACCCGTTTTTCTTACCACCGTTATTGATATATAACACAATTATTATCATATCATTCATATTCATTCATCGAATAATGGTCATTTCATTATTCGTAAGTATTATGTTTATCATGCTCCTGCAAAACTTTTCATTTTTATAACTTTATTTCCATAATGACTTTTCTGAAATTTAATAATCCATTTTTGAAAACATTTTTAAGAATTTAAATTCCAAATCAAATAATGTTTTTATTATTTGTGCAAAGATGAATAAGGAATTAAAGTATACTAATAATCCAAATATCCAATTGGTATTTTTGCTAATTGGAATTTAGTTTTGTCTGGCCCGTTTCCAATTTTTAATTAAGATTCCAGCCTGAGAAGGGGTTTTCAAATACAAGGCCTAACTCGAGATTATTTAGTTAAACACGAAAATAAACATATATTTATAATATTGGGAATTGATTAAATTAAAAACATTACACTTTATATTTTAAAAATTTAAATTCTATAATAATCCAGCCCAATAATTTACTTGGCCCGGTCCAAATAAATTTTTTCAGAAGTTACCAAACCGGGTACCGGGCATTGCAAACCTCTAATCACGATTACATGTAGTAATTAATTGCCGTTTTTAGAAAAGGATTTAGTAATTATAATAATTATATTTTTTCAAGTAATTATGACCATCCATCATTTTCATAGCTTAAAAACGTTTCATAACCAAAATTTATTATGTCATTTATTCAAAATTCTTAAAAAGGAAGACTATAAAGTAAACAATAAATATGTAATCATAAATATATATTTGTAAAGGCATTGATATAATTTTACAGTAGTATACAGAGAATTATATATATTATCAGCACAACTAATTTTTAATTGAGGAAATATAATTTACATGCTTACAAATTTGAGGCAAATATTTTGACATTGATATTTATTTATATAAGCTAAAAAATTACAGTCATATATTATAGCTTATTAAACTTCATTTAAAATAGGTTTTCCGTTTTCTTCCTTTTACTAATAGTAATACTATTTTTATAAAATAATTATTAAATATTTTGTATAAATGTACTTCTGATTCACTGGCAAAGGTCTTTTGATGTTAGATGGAGAAAAATTAACAGATGTAGATTCTGTGTTGATTAAAATTGAATATATAATTATCTATGTTTTTATCTTTCAGATTATCAAAATTTCCCTAATATTAAATTGCAATGTGGACAAAGACCTTTAGTTCTCGCCCATTTAATAATTTTTAAAATAACTATATATTAAATTTTTTTAGAAAAAACCAAAAATATTGGGCCTGCAATATGAACTTAAAGGCCTCCAATAAAATGAGAAAACAACTAATGTAATAGTGGTTCCCGTCTTCTTAATCCTGGCTACATACAAACTAGCCCATAAAATGGGATAATTTTAAATTCAGGCTAAACATTTGAATTTTATTAAATAAGACCAGGGCCGAGTTTTCAATTTCTTTAAAAACTATATCAATTAGCCAGTTATCATATAATGGATTAATAACATTCCTTTGTGTCTTATACAATTTACAAAATACAGAAAAATCATAAAATAATTTCAAATCTAGGCCTAGTTAGTCTAAAAATTTGACTTCCCTCTGCATATTTCAGATTTAAATTATTGTAGCAGAATAATTTTAAAATTGAATAGTGATAATTGTTAATTTTATTTTTAACATTTCAACAAAATTTTATTCAATATATTAAAAATAGCAAAATAAAACTCATATGAAGTAATAAAAGCGTAATTACAAACCTTGAAGCCATCTAACCTGTGTGGCTGGACCATAACCCTTATCATTACGAGCAGCTATCCTAAAAATTATAGCTGGCTTATTAGAAGAAGCAGAACAGTCTATCTGAGCATTGGCCAGGACTGTATTATGAACAAGGCAAGAGGGAAAAGCGCCAGAATAAACTCTCACAAAAGCTAATTGTTGCTGCAGATTATTTGCATTATTGGCTTGATTAATAGTGGGAATCGCGTTATTATTAGAATTGCGAATGGCGAGGTATACGGAATATTCGGTAATTTTTCCGGCAGAGTTTTGAGGCGGGTCCCAGGCTAAATGAGCTCCTTCCGACGACTTAATGAGAAAAATTGAGAGTAGTGTAATATAGTACATAGGAATCGAATAAATGCACTACATATAATACACTATAAAAGTCTGTTAAAATTTAATGATTGAGTGCTATGAAAGCAAAAATGGTATTTTTTTCAAACATACCTATCATGCAAAAAATTTTAATTCTCAAAAATAATGTTTGTTATAATGTGATTTGCGCTAATGAAACATTTATATTATGATTTAAATTATATTATGTACTTTGAGGTGTGGATATGAACTTCATGGAAAAATATATTTCTCTAACTTGGTTGAAGTAATAGCCAATACAATGAAAAACATAAAATGATAGCAACACTAATCTGATATGGTTCATATAGCTACCCCTTACAGCCAAGTTGTAAAAAATGATAAAAAATATAGATATTTCAATATTTTAAATTTCAGACATCGAATGGAACTTGATAAACTCAAAGTGAACAGTGATTGAGTCATGAACGTTCCATAATTAATTATAATAGATCATTATAATATTTATAATGGCTCCAGTTTGCTTCACTTTACAATACTATTACCAAACTCCTATTATGTGTGATTAGGAGTATATTAACATTATAGTTTATCAAATTTCAGGATAATTTGTTAAGTTAGCAATGAAAAGTGTTTTGGTACTCAAGTTTATATTATCACTACTATACATATATAGATGATAATATTATAGAGAATATATTAATGCTTAGATATAATAATTGATTTACATAATAAACTTAGTTCAAGATCCTTCCCTAGTTATGATTATGATAAAAAAAACCTTCGTGATCTTAATGGAAGAAGGAGCCCCTGGAAACCCAGGGACGCAAGTCTTGAAGGCTGCTACCTCCGAAAAAGGACCACGTCCACAAGAATTGATAGCAGCAACCCTAAATTTATAAGCCGTAGCTGGTTGAAGAGTCTGAAAAGTGGGATTAGCAATATCTCCACCATCTTTGATTGAAGATGTTATGCTAGAGTTTTGAATTTTGGAAGGGTCATTGCTGTTTGATGAGGTTCTCTGTATTATGTTATCGTATATATTATTATAAGTTTAGGAACTTTTTTCAAAATTTATGAATGATATAAAAAATCTAGTTTTGAAAGGTAAGCCAAAATATAAAACATAATAGCATTCTCAATATTTTTCAATTAATGTACTTATTATTATTTTTACAACTTTAATGTAAATAACATTATGAATAGAATAATTCAAAATTGTTGGTAATGCTTAAGATGGATGTTCCCATAAGAACAATCTTATTCATATATTTTATTGACTAAGAGGTATATAAAAACTACAAAACTAAGTATTTTACATATATATGATTAGGAATTTTGTAATTAGTCACCACACAATTATTTGTACCGACAATACACACTTCAAACCATTTTCTATTATTGTTGTCCTCTGCTGTTGTTTCAGCGTAATGGGATAAGGTTTGATTTTTCATGAATTGTTGCATTTGGGAAATATTTGATGAGGATATAGATGTAGTATTATTGATAGTAGGAGATTGAAATTTTAAATTCTGTCATGGGAAAATATTATAAAAATTGCTGGGTATAATTTAAAAAACAAAGGATATTTTAAAATTTCATATGAATAGTTAACAACTGTAATAAATATAAAATAAATTATTTTTATAAAATTTAGTTACAAGTGAAGTGGACAATTTCATAGATCCACCGATTGAAGAAGAGGAAAGGTTGGCAAGATTAAAAATATCATCGGTATGTTCAGCTTTTTAAAAAAATAAACATAGATTCGGATGACTTATATAATATTAAAATATATTTAGGATTTTGGTTTAAATTTCTTTGGATTATAATCAAAATTTAAAATTTTTATATTTATTTTATACCCAAAAATGCAATGTTTGAAACTGAATTTAACTGATAATTAATTATATTTTATAATATTTGTGATAAAAATTAATAAAACTTTTTATATTTCATCTTCCATTATAAATTAAGTATAACATGGTTTTAATGTAAACTGAGCATTAATTAGGAAAGCATAGACATATCTAAATGTGTTTATCATTTAGATTATTAATATTTTAAAATATATCTAAATACCTTTAATTAAAGCAGAAGTCATATTAGTTTGAGAGAGAAGTTGATCAATGTCCAATCCATTTAAACCAGAATTTTGGTTACAATTATGAATTTGATGATTAATTGGCATGATAGATGGCATAATATCATCTAGGAGGGAATGGTCGGTAGAAGGACTTCCAAGAAGATCCTCAAAAGGAAGGCACCCTTGGCCATTAACGTTAAATGATTTGCTATCTATATATAGATATTTAAAAATGGTTAATGATTTTTTAATGAGTTTAAATTAATAAATAAGATATCTTCTTAAAAAATTACAGATTTGTTAAAAGACCGTGATTAAATTATCGACAATCCTGAATCCGATCGTTATTTTAGAAAATTTCCTGGATCGATAATTTTGGTTTAAAACCAAGATCGTGATCGAAATCATTTTGATAATGAACGATCCTTTGATTTTAAATTTATTTTTTACTTTATATATTATAAAAATAAGAGACCTGCTCGCCCGGCCAGATTACACAAATTTTTTTAAGAAAAATCCGGGGGAAAATATGAAACCCAAAATTTAAAAAAACGAGTTGTGCTGTGCAAATGTTACCCTTAGGTTTTTGATCAAAATAAAAAATAGTATTAATCTTAATAATTTCTTATGATAGATATACTATTCCCCTAAGGTCATTCCATATCAAATCAATCACTTTACAACCCGACCTCAGATTTTGCTAAAATTTGGTATATAAAATAATGAAGTGAATCCCAATTAGCCCTTAACTCTGCTTGGTCATTTTTCGAAAAAAATAATTTTTTAAAATTGGGATAACTTTAATATTAGATGCACTATATATATCTATCATGGCTCATTTTATAGTTCTAAGCAAACTCTTCCACGTATTTTAAGTAAAATTAATTTTTAATTTATAAAAATTTTTATCCAAATTTCAGATATTTTGTAAAGATTACCAAGAACTGTTTATATAAAAAATTTCAGAGTGGTAAAAAAAAAGTTAAGTAGGAAAAATGCTTAAATAAAAATGCTGCTACATGGCGTTAATAATTTCAATAGCTTAATAACTTAATTTTTGAAAATATATGTCAATCTACCTTTTTTATATTCCATAATATAATATTTGTTTAATAAAATAGCATTTTGTCACAAAAATAAAATTTCCGCTAGATAGCGCAAGTAATTTAAAATAGATAAAAACCTCATTTTTGTAAAATTACTAATAGTATAGATGCTTAGTTATATTGATTTCCTTAAATTTAATTTGTATATGGCTATTTGAGATTCTTCGCGAGTTAAATTACAAGTTCTTCTGGTAGTGGTCAAAAGGTTAATGACAGTTAGAATATCATTTTTCGGATGGCTAAGATCAGGTAGGAAAATAAAAAAAATTAGAAGGTCCATTAGGGTGTAAAAATATTACCTTTACGTCATCAGCACTAATAACAAAATATTCAAAATCGAATAGGCGAGATATCAACCTATGATATAAAATGGGATGTAACATGCTATTTTGATAATGACTGATGGGTGGCCTATATTGTAGCGAATAGTAGTGCTGATGAGGTAAAGGTAATATTTTTACACTCTAATGGACCTTCTAATTCCTTTTATTATCCGTTAATACCTGATATTCTTATTCTTCCGAAAAATGGTATTCTAACTGTCGTCAACATTTTGACCACTATAGGAAGAACATAATTATCGAATAAATAAAAATATCAACTGACATATTTTACAAAAATGAGGCTTTTAGCTATTTTAAATTACTTGCGTTATCTAGCGGAAATTCTATTTTTGTGCCAAAATGCAATTTTTTTCAACAAATATTATATTATGTAATAAAAAAAAGGTAGATTAACTTATATTTAAATTAAATTTTATGCAATTTAAAATAATTAACGCCATCTAGCGATATTTTTATTTTAAGTATTTTTCATACATTCTTACAACTCTGAAAGTTTTTACATGAAGAGTTCTTGGTACTCTTTACAAAATATCTGAAATTTGGAAAAGAAATTTATGCAAACATTTAAAAAAATAAATTAAAAATTTTTGAACACAATTTTAAAAAAATTTATAAATTAAATAATTAAAATACGTGGAAAAGTTTACTTAGGGCTATAGCCATGATATATATATATATATATAGTTATAATATTAAAGTTATCCCAATTTAAAAAAATCATTTTCTTTCGAAAAATGACCAAGCAGAGCTATATCCACTTCTAGTAGAGTTAAAAGGCGAATATTTTGGATTCGTCAGTTAAAACACTTCATTAACTTATATAGTAAATTTTAGCAAAATCTGAGATGATCGGGTTGTGAAGTTATTGATTTTATATGGAATGACTCCCTAGCAGATCTTAATAAATAAAGTTCGATTATATTATTCCCCTTGGTTCTGAACCTTTATAAAATATTCTATATCTAATTTAATCTTACGTATTACTCAAATCACACAAAACAATGCTAACTCCGACATATTGCTACATTTCAAAAATATCCATGAATTAATTTTTTGTGAAAACATTATATTAGTTAAATCAGTCAGCAAAATATCTCACCAACGTAAAGCTCAAGCTGACTCAAATCTTAGTGACACAATGACCCATCTCAAAATAATTCAAACTACATTTATCCTTAATTTTCTCTTATCGTCCATTTGTTAGAATAAATAATAATGATCATTTTCATGGTTTTTAAATTTTTTTTCGCTTTTTATGTTACTCTACAAACTACATCCTTAATTGCTAGTCTAAAGATGTTAAAATTCCGTACCTTAGAAAATCCTTAAATGAATTTTAATCGATTGTCAGTATGTTATTTTTCTCCATTCTACAATATGGAGAATATAGCCTTAAAAATGAAATACAGGAAACAATCAATAACCAATTATACATATTAATTCATAAATATCTATATATTTTTTAGCTTATAAATACAAATTTCTTTGTTTTAACGTTTTCTGCATATTATGAAGCCGAGGTAGCTCTTAGGCTAACAGATCTTTCTTATCACCAGGTTAAGACTTAAAAAAATCCCTTATCTAGATCTAATGACAGTCAAGACTAAATTTATATAAAATTGCATCATTTATAATTTTTCAGTAAAGCAAATATTGCCTAATCCATTTAAACTTCAACTCCATATAACTGGATTATGGTTATTATTTAAAAGCTTTATCTTGATTTCTAAAAACCATATTTTTATGGGAATTTCAATTAAAAAAACTTAATATTAGTTAAAATGAATAACCCAATAAAAACTCATGATTGACTCTATTTCTCACCCGAACCCAGCCTGATAATTTTTAAGCACAATACCTGCCTACTATTTATTATTAAGGCAGAGCCTGATAGCATAAATAAAATGATTAATTGCTTTGTCTTATAATCCTATAAAAATATTAATTCTCATTTCATTTTAATAAAGCAGTGAAAACATTATTTTTTAGTTTTTTCCCCGAGCCCAGTGCAATTTTCTTAGATCCAAGAAATGCAGGGCCCTCTGTTAAATAAGATGTTAATATTTTCTTAACTATTAACATGGATGAAAAGTATCCAAGGTCATGAGAGTTTATGGATGAAACATATTCAAGGTAATGATAGTTTGAACAATCTTGCTTTGGAAGTTGTTTTAAGTTGAAATGAAGGTTCTTTTATGGATTTGGTGATAATATCTTTCTCATTTTTTTATTGCCATAAGATCATTCTCATTAATTTCATTTTCCATTTAAAAAGATCTCAAAGGAAAGGACAAAAATATATTAAATAAATAAATAAAACCAACCAATCATATAATTTCTAAAAATGGATGGGTGGGATAATTTTTAATGAAACGACACATGAGAAGGTTGGGCGAATGGGCTAAATGGAACGTTATTTAAATCATTGCGCTAAATTTAATTTAGTTTTTAAGGTAAAATTTAATAAAAATATATATAATTTAATATATTAATTCATATAAATAAATAATACCTATAGGAGAAAAAAGACTATCTGGTAATAACATATCTGTATTAGAGCCTGGTGAAATTAAGTTATAGCTAGACATCGAATCAAAATTGAGTGGCGAAGATATGGAAGGTTGTTCAAAATTTTCGGATTGTTCCACTTTTATCCTGACTTCAACGTCTTTAAGTTTTTTGAAAAATAAAAGATAATGAACAGAAATTCAATTTAACATACACATAAAATAAATAAAGAGCATAAAATAAATAAAGAGTTATATAAATGTTTCCAATACTTTAATATATTCAAAATAGTAAAAGGTGATTAGATATCATCAAACACATAAAGTTTTATACATAAAAAAACTACCAGCTGAGTTGTCAGGCGTGGCTGCATTATCGTTAGCTGATAAGGAATTTGATGTTGATATTGTGGCAACTGGCTTGGTATCAGAATCTGGAGGTGTGGGACAATTATGACCATCTGCACAAATATATTTTAGGGATTCCTTATTATCTTTAAATTCGCTCTATAGGGGTTAATTTTTTATTAATATGCATTGGAAAAATATAATATCAATCGTAGAAAAGGATGTTGTAAAATGGAAATTTAACTTATATTAATATTAATCATTATTAACTGACTGAAGATTATTTTAATCAGCATATAACCAAATTTTTATCTTATACTTTTATATCTTCAATCGATGATGTGAAAGGTTGGATGGTTGTACTTGCAAATGCTAAAATATAATAAATTTTATCTAGTTATATTTTAAAAAAGAGTGAGGTCGTATGGTTCGTCTTATTTCTAAATAGTCGACTATTTGGCTGCCTATATAGCTTCCTTTAAACACCATAAAAAGAAAGGGGTTATCTAGATTTAAGTACTTTTAGCATTGTTAAATCGGCCAAGTTTTAAAATTCTGAACTATAGTCGGAGTATAAATATTGCCTCAGACTGGATTCGTAAAATGTGACTCAGGCTCAAACCGATGAGTAGGCTCGAGTCTAATTTTGAGCCAAATTTATTTATTTAAATATTATAAGAATATACTAATATAGAATTAGTGTGCTTGCCATATTTTGAGTGGAAAAATGGATTCAAAATTAAGCTAGCTCCATGAGTCGCTATCTAAGTCGACTCAGAACTCTAGGTCACTCATGTTCTTATTTTTAACTATATATTAAAAAACTCTACCCCCCTGAGTGATATTGTTATACAAACATTATTAAAAATAACATAAATGTAAATAAATTTTATGTAAGGGCTTACTTAGGTTGGGTTGAAGAGGTATTTTTCCATTATAATAAAATTATACAAGAATTATATTATTATAAGTGTAAATTTGTGATATTTTATTATATTTAAATAGAAAAGATTTAACATTTTATAATAAACCATATTAAATTACCAAATAATTTACACTCATAATAATATAATTTCTTGTATAATTTTATTAAATTTTTATATCTTTGGAAAAAATAAAAATATTCAAAAAAATACACCTTAAACTCAATAAGAGTCCTTATATAAAATTTATTTTATTATTAATAATATTTAATAACAATAACAACTGAGATTGGTAGTTTTTTTAAACATATTTACTTGTAATTAAGATAAGCATGTGAGCAACCTAAGAATTCTAAGCCGCTTCAGATAGCAACTCATGTAGATCATCGAGCTAGCTTGATTATCGGTCCATTTTTCCACTCAAAATTTGGCAATGGCACATTTCTATATTATTATATTCCTAAAATATTTGAATAACAAATAAATAAAGTTCGGGTCAAAGTTAAACTAGAGCCAGCCAACTCATTCGACTCATTGAGCCACCTAAGTCAGTCGATTTTTAGTCTCAAAATTAGGTAGTTTAGACGTTTAACAACACGATGTATTAGTTATAGTTGTACCGACAAAACATATAAATAAAAAATAATATTTATTTAATGTACTCGTTATTTTTCCTTTCAAATAGGGTGTGGATGTCCTAATTCAAAATATGCTTGGCCATATCAAAAATAGGACGAACCAGAACACGCCTGAGATATTAAATATTTAAATTTATTCTCGTTATTATTTTTAAAACTATTTAGATGATACTATATAAAAGTATACTGCTCAACGTTATAATAGTTCGCAAAATATTTTGCAAGACAATATTTTAAATGAAAAATAAATGAGTTATAAGGATTTATTTTATAAAATGTAAGGATTATATTATATATAGGGGTGTACCGATACCACTTTTTGGAGGCCGATCCGATCCGATATTTCAGATATTAAATTGATATCGGCCGATAACCGATCCGATATCATATCTAATTTTGTATTCTGCAAAGATACCGGTTTTAATTTTTAATATACTTTTTATTAGTACAACATCTATAATTTTACTATACCATAACATATGTCATTTAAATATATTATAATGGTCAGTTATAGTTTATATTCAATTCAATTGCTATTATTTATATAATAAGTAATAACATTAATCTATTTACATAATTAGTAATAAAAAAATATATTATGAAATTTGAAATTAATATTTAAAATTAATATATCGAAGATTTCTTTTTATATCAGAGATATGTCGGCGGTGATGGGGACTGTTAATATCACAAGCATCACTAAAAACAGAAACTGAAGAGATGAACACTTTTTTAAACAGAATGTGAAAAAAAATAACTATATTGCAGAATGTTTATTAACTAATTATTTCTATTAAAAAAATTAAACATAAAAATGTATTTCGATTTTATTTATAAAAATAAATGGTTTTTTAGATATAACTTTTTTTAAATTTTGTTAAAAGCGCCATTTTATATCGGATCGGAAAATTTTATAATATTTGCCGATAACCGATATTTTAAAATGAGCGAAATATCGGCCCGATCCGATATAAAATATCGGTACATCCCTAATTATATATATGTAAATTTTATTAATTTTGAATAATAATATTATGAAATAGAAGCAATTAATCATTTACAATTAAAGTTCAAACTAAATTTTGCAATTCAAACCTTTCAGAAAAATGTAGGTTTAAAATGGTTTTTTAAGTGTTTACTTATCTGATAATAAGTATTAAATATTCATCTGTTATATTTATTATTATATTTTTTAAAAAGTATTTTGATTAGATAATGTGATGACCTACTCCTATAAATAAAAAAATCTAATCTGAAAACCCTAAAAAAGTAATTCCCCATTGAAGAAATTTCTGTTTAAAATAAAAGATCCACGGCATTATATTCTTGCTTTGTGGATGAATAAAGATGTTCAAGCCTTAATGATAAAAAATCTAAGTGGAATATAAGTAAAGACAAAAATGGCATAATCATTATATCAAATGTTTTTATCCTAAAGCAAAACAAAGCCTCCAACATTAAGGTTCCAAACAAATAGGACTAATATGAGCAAAAAAATAAATCTGGAATGTATTAAAATAGTCCAAAGTTTTTCAGAGAAGAAAAGGTATTTTTTAGAATATTTAAAAGTAAAATCTTTGGCTATATGAAAGGGAAAAGTCTTAAAATTGAATAGTGCTAAAAGGTAAGTCAAATTCTCAGAAAGTGTCAGTGATGCTAATAGGAAAATGTTTAGAAATTATGGGCACTCAATAAAATTATAAATTGGTTAGAATATCAGCAGATTTTATCATCAAATCATGCATCAAGATCAACTAAAAAATTCATAATATATTGTCGGTCTAGAATTAGAGTGTTCCACTCGATAATTTCAAAATTTTTGAGTTAGAGGTGGATAATAACTTATTTATTCCCAATATATAAAAATAAAAACTAGATTAAAAAATATTAATTTTTTCCAAGGTTATAGCTCGGCCAATTTTGCGCTAGTTGCATATAACGATGTAATTTTTGCTTCATATGAATGGCCTATCCTACTATCTTATTTAATCAAGTGTTGTATTTCCCTTCTTTTTTTAATTTTTGCTTTCCTTATTGAATCGTAAAATATTTTCATTCCATATCTATTCCCAAATTATATTAAAGGTAAGGTAAATCTTTTATTATTTTATAGTATTCTTAATATAGTTTTCATTATATAAAAATATCATAAATTGGATTTGAGCAAATTATAATCGAAATCTAATAAATTATGTGTAATCTTTAAATAAAGGTATAAAAATTGAATTTAAAATTAAATTATATGTAAAATTTATCACAACTTTTCAATAATCAACTTGCTCATAATTTAAATAAATTATTAAGTACTAGCTCATTAAATATAGATATAAAAATTGAATTAAGGAATCTTATTATTTTTACTCTCCTAGCCCTTCAACTTCTAGAAGCAAAGCAAATGAAAGAAAGAGACTAAGGAAAATTGGTGAGACCTATATCAATATTAAAGGTGATTTGAAAAGAACAAGGATGGTTCAGAATGATCATTCTAATATAAATGTATATTTCAAAGACAATTTTATTTACAAACATTTGATATAAGTAATAAACGAATTAGTTATTTCTTTAAAGTTTTATACTAAAATACTGGAACTTATTTTGCTCCTAGAAAAGGTAAAAATAATATTAGAACAATGTTAGAGTGTATGCCTAGGAACTGATAGAGAATATATGGAAAAAGTATTATTTAAATAGTAAAATTAGAAGAAAAAAAAGATTTTGATGATTTTGAGTTTTTTGAATTTATTTATTAAATTCGAATAAAAAAATGTAAATGGAGCAGTTTGAACTTAAAAAGTTTTATGTTTGCTTCATTTGTATTTGTATTTTGATTTTATCAAATAAATTTTATATTTAAACTTTTTTTAGACTATAATTATTTAATAATATGATAAATTAATTGAAAATTTTTTAATTAAAATGATTGATAAGTTTTTCCTATATTTGATTTCAAACTTTAATGTTGATTTTTTCATTTTAAACATTGGCGCAAGTGGTCTAGACCGACGATATATTAATATTATAGTAATGGAATGATCTGTATGTATTCCGAAATAAAATGCAATCAAAAATATTAAGGGAATCACAAAAAATGATTTGAGGAAAGTCGTCTTACGAGCAAAGAGATAATGATATAATAAAAATAGAAGAGGGATAAATTTTCCAATAGAAAGATGCCAAACCTTGATTAAATATATAACAATCATTATCCATAAAGTTAATTACACTGTGTGACAAGAAAAATGGGAGAAGAAAATAAAAACAAGTTTTGGTGCAGAATTTAACGCTGAGTTCGAATCCGTTTTCCAAATTTTCCCTACACGGCAAGTTTTAAAAATATTACCGTATAAAGACAACTTTTTGAAATCTCAAAAATGGTAAAATTTAGGTCTTTATACGGATATATTTTAAAAAGTATCGAATAAAAATCCCTGAAAATTGGTGATAGTGTTAAACTTATATTTTTTTATAAATTTACTAATTTTTATAATTTTTTATCGATTGGTTTTAGAGAAAAATGGTAAAGAATTTCGTTTTAGGGGTCTTAAGTTTTCAATTTAAATTACTATCAAAATTATTAACTTTAGAAGATAAATTTTATATAATTTTGCTTCAAATATGTTCAAGATTATATATTAATTCTAATTATGTTTCAAAAGTACTCTATGCCATCAAAATTCAACCAAAATCTATAAATTAAAAAAGTCGGTACAGATATTTTCAAACTTTTTAATTTGTACATCTGCATAAAGCATTTTTAAAGCAAAATTAAGGTAATATTTATCTTTTTTAGTTGTATTTAGTAATATTTTAT